AAAATTAGTTGATTTTTATTATATGAAAATCAAAATTGGACAGACAAATAATACTTTATCCAAGTTAAACATAATTGTTTATAAAACAATGCCTTTAAGCCTGGCGTATTGGTGTAATGGTACTAATGTGTGACTGGTCAATGGAACGTGGATTCGATCCCCACCTGGTCCAACATGATGGGCTTTGTCTGGAAATATGTCTATTAAATGGGTGGTAGGAATATCGACAATTCTATCCGGTCATGATGCACCGTCCACAGATCAAGAAGAAGTATCAGATCAATCATCGCCACGAAGTATAGCGTATTTTGGCTTTATTGTGTTTGATTTCCCATTATCCACAGCCAAAAAAAGTCAACAGGTCATCTTGTTTCGATGGCTGGGGAATTTCACACTCCTGTTGGTTCAGGAATTTCATCCTACATACGGGTATTATTTATTAAAAATACCGCTTATACCACGAATAGCATCAAATCTGATATTTTTTTATGATAAAGGAGGACATACAAACATGGTTCATTTAAGGAGAGGTAAAATTCCCCAGCCATCGAAACAAGATGACCTGTTGACTTATTTTGGCTTTAGATAATGGGAAATCAAACACAATAAAACTGAAATGTATCCTACATACGAGTATATGCAACTAAAATTAACAACTAATTAAAAAACAAAATGGAATCCACGTTTTAGCAATATTCGGTTTGAATGTATAAACTATTTTCGGGGCTCCTTTAAACAAATTACGTTAAGGTAACTAAAATAAAATATTTTGGCGATGTTACCGGCCGTCCGTCTAAACTCTAAAGCAACCGTCTAATGATAAAATATCTATCTAAAAATGGATCGATAGCATATCTTTATTTAAGATTTTAGGGCTGGGGCATTTTCGCCTTTAATCCAGTGAAGAGAATGTCCTCCTCAATTATAAGAAAAGAAGCCAAATAACTCACCGACATTTGTTATTAAATATTACGCATAATATAGTATGTACGACGACGTATGTTGTACGCAGTGAATCGCTGAACAATTTGTAAACATACGAGAAATTCATAATAAAAGTCCGCTGCACTCAGAATCACCAGCCATCCCCGGCGGTTCAGAACGCGCATTTAACACTTTGTTGCCATATAGAAAGGTGGTGTGCGCGCGTATTTGTACTTAAAACCTATACGAACTTTTTAACGAACGTTTACTGTACCGCATTTTGCTGTGCGCTGTGTAGAAGTGTCAAAATGAAAACAGATTATGCTATGGATGAGATGCAGAAGAGTAAGTTCGATATTTGAATTATGAAAAATATAGCTGGCCTGAAACGTACTATTAAAACTAAAACCCTAATCTATAATTTATTCAACAAAGAAACATAACTTTTAAGTACAAATAAAAAAAATGGAAGACTTCACTGAAACGTGATACTATACGTGTGTAAATACTATCTTTACTTTACGCGAGTTGTACACATTTAAATAAAACATTTTAACGGTTTTAAAGGCGATTTATATTAGTTAAACTTATTTTAAATTGCAGCGTGACCACGAGCCGTAGTTAAAAATAATTTTCAAATAAGTTTAATATATATATCGATTTTTAGACCGTTAAAGTTTTTTATTTAAATCTATGCCTATCTCTTCAGATTCAATAATAGTATATAATATTACTTTCTCTGTTCAAATGTATTTAACACTTTTCTTTGAAAATTTAAATGGAAAAAAACAAGGACTAAAACAACGAAAATGTATAAAGAAAATTTTTCACGTTTCTAACACGTTTCGAAGCCTTGAATTTGACAGTGACCATGCGACATTATTATGTGAAAATCGGATAATTGTCGTATAATTTGTGAGCTTCGAATTAATTACAGACAATATGTTAGATTAATCTGTTACTGACATTAATTGATTCTGTGGTCGTGTTAAGAGGATATGCAGATAAAGCGATTCTGGACAATATTTCGATTGTTTCATTTTTCAACTCCACATACATGATATTTTACGAACGACATTAATAATTGATTTATTGTCCATTTAAATGTAAAATGAAATTTTTTATATACGGGCGAAGGTGAGACACTGTTTCTATGTAATTGAATTTTTAACGTGTCGATTGTATTCACGGGAAACATCGATCACTAAACGGGAAACGAAAATTAACTAAGCTTCTCAGAATTCTAACCTTCCTGAGTACTTTCCTTCTCAACTAATGGCGTTCAACAGTATTTAAGTAGTATTTGGTCATGAAAGTACTGTTCCCTTGCCATATGAGGTATTTTGACAAAATTTTAATCCCATCGGTTCTTGGGAGTTGACAGTATATGTGTTTTTTTAAAGATAGCATCACAGACATTTCTTTTGATTATTCAAAGAGTAATAATTCTTTTATACATATGTTTTGGGTTTCTAGAACCGTTTTCGCTGCGCGCGCAACGGAAACACCCAAAGATAAATAATTTTAATTATTTCACAGTTCCCGTTGCTTTGTCGCTTCTATTGGTAGCAAATTGGTGTTTTATGGTAGTATAAATGGGCCAAACAACACAAGATTTTTTTCAATTCTAACCAGTCGTACCTGAGATAAGCGCGTTAAAAAAACAAACAAATAAACTCTTCAGTTTTATAACATTAGTATGATATTTCGCGTTTTAGAACAAAAACAAGGAAAATCCTTTATTCGTTCGAAGTTACCATATGTGCATTACACATTAAACTACATAAGTGTCCGAATTACCATTCTAATAATTTTAGTTGACAGCCCTTTTGAAAATAATTAATTTATATTTTTGCATAAATATCTCAAAATAGTTGTCGTTCTTATGCGGGTTCCAGTGCACAACTTAAAACTTTATCTGATCATGCGCACAATGATGACATATACGAATGTCATTAAATTATTGACATCAGATAACAATAGATACTAATCAAAACAAATCCGTGCCTGTTTTTATAATACGAAGAACTAAACAAATGTATACTCGAAGTATGATTCGAAAAATTATTTCATTAAAACAAAGTACGTTTAAAATTAGAACCGTCAGTTCTGGTTTGATTTCAGCCTATGCGATTAAACTTTTCTTTCCCAATCTTGGCCCAAAGATCTTGTTTTGATATGTGTTGATACAACAGATAACAGTTTCCTGCCAAAACAATACACAGATAACACTAAGTTCTAAAGACAACAAAACCATTCGTTTTTCAAACTGTCTCAGGTAAACAAACGAATAGATCCTACTAATATTATAAACATGAAAGATTGTATGTGTGGATGGATGTTTGTTACTCTTTCACGCAAAAACTACTGAATGGATTTCAATTAAACTTTCCAATAATATAGCTTATACATTAGAATAACACATAGGCTACAATGTATAAAGATAATTTGTAAGCTGTCCAAAATATGACATTAAGTGTCAAGTAACTAGGAAAAAACCTACCTTTTCCTGCCAGATATTCTGGCGTGCGCAGCCATAAACGTTAGTTAGACATATTTATGTCATAATGTTAGTTTTTTTCTAAGACACGCTAATATAAGCTACTCCAAATACTAATCCTGCGAAGACGAAGTCGCGGGAACCAGCTAGTTTTAAATAACGTAATTCTGCATTGCAGCAGTGTACAAGCCACAAAATCTATTTATTTCATATATTCCATTATTAATAATAATAGGAACTCCCATTTTAATTATACGTGTAAGATCGTTTGATTGCTATATGATACTTATGACATAATAATTAAGATGCAAACGTAATTACAAGCATATAAATAACTTACTGTAATTAATAATAATGTTCTACTTGTAACTAGTGTATACCTATACTATGTTGGCGGTTTACACTATAACGTAGAAAGAAAGTTTGGGTATTTATTTACGTGGCTTTGTTAATTGTTCATAATATAGTTGTAACTGGATAATAAATAACATTATATTGACAGGCTCGTTAATGGTAGCAATGTATGGCTAAAAATCAACGGGTCGTGGGTTCGATGCCCACCGGGTCCAATTTCTTTCTAATTTTTCAATTTATATTTTTTATAAAACATGTAGGATGGAAAATAAATGGTGGTAAGAATATAGAAATACCGTCCGGCTCACGAACCACCGTTCACAGATGAAAAACCCGTGGAGCTTAATCGCGTTTCGGTTACAGTCTGTGTCGATTTCCGAATATCCAAAGCCAAAATAGGTCGACAGTGCATCACCTACCATCAAGTGAAGTTTTTAATGTTAGAGGAGGACAGGCAAGCATGGGGCATGCTTGCCTGTCCTCCTCTAACATTAAAAATTACAGTACACTATTCATAAGTTAAATATTAAATGTACTTGACCGTATTCTTCAGTACACTAAGCTAAGTATTTATACAATTGACTATTTACACAGTTTATTTCATTGAGAACCTTATCATTGTTTGATTAGAATAACTGCTATTAATATGCCTGAAATAATTTATCGTTTATTCTGTCTCTACTGTCTTCGTTGAAAATCATGCGTTTATATACGTACGTACACATACCTATAGCTAACACATACCCTAGGTACCTCAAACTCACATTCATGTTTTTGGATTTAGAATATGCCTAACACGAGATGAATTGATATTAAATTGAAAAATAATTACGACACGAGCAGGATTTAAACCATTAGAGCAACAGTACGGAACGCTGTAGATGCGGGTTGAAGTCCTGCCCGTGATGTAATTGCTTTTTTTTTAAATCGATTTTTAATGTATGTAATGCTATCATGTGCGCGTGTGTGTGTGTAATATGTGAAAATATTTATGTTTTGAAATAAATTAATACTGTTTATTTTGAAACTCCTTATCGAATCTATCATGTATAAGACAAACTACGAATACCCATGAATAAGAGAATTAGATGTATTTTTTTAGAGCTGTTTGGCTGTTAGGCATTCGATATAATCCCTTACTTAATCTAAAAGATAATTTCATACCATTTAAAGAACCCTTTCACGCATAAGAAAAAGTCAATAAAAATATTTATTGTTTTAGGAACCAGCTCAATCATTGGTCTGGCAGACGTAACAGACAATAAGCTAATCTGGCGACAGCTGGTTGCTGAACTCCTCGGCACCTTCTTGCTGACGTCAATCGGTGTTGCTTCCTGCATTGCGATAACGGAGAGCAATGCCCCTCGTGTTACCAGCATTGCACTTGCCTTCGGTCTTCTTGTCGGGTCTATTGTACAGGTAAGTTTTTTTTTAATGGTTGTATACAACCGTGAGGCTTGAGACAGAGGGTTTTCGAGAACAATATATATAGCGCAACAGCACGGAACGCTGACGATGCCGGTTCAAGTCCTGCCCGAGTCGAAATTTTTGTTAAATTAATGTTAGATTTTTAAAATAATATATATGTTCAGAATGGGATAGTAATTAAATTAAGAAGAAGAAGAATACTGAATATTGCTAAATGATGCGAATAACAAAACTACAAATGTGAACAAAGAAACATATTTCACAAAAATTATGTTTTTAATTTCTACAGTTGTGTATTTTGAAAATGATTTCGTATTTCAAGAGATACTCAGCGTACAACAAATGTTTCAAGAATTACTTTAAATAAAATTTAAACAAAACGCCTTTCTTATGAAAATTAACATTCAAATTATATTGCATTAATGCACATTTTTGAAGCAAAAGGAAGTTATACGTATCAATTTTGGTGAAATCACAAAAAAAATCAAATGCGCCAAAAAGGAAACAGCAGCTGCAACAAATGAAGTGACTTATACGGGGAACAAAAACAAATATTTACTTTCTTCTTAAAAGTAGCAATTCTTATCGTTCGTTAAGTAAGTTCTTGTAAATTAGTGCACTGATACATAGTTAAGCCATAATCTATATAATATTTGGATTCTATAATCTATGAAATAAGTATAGATTATAGCAAAAGTGCTATAATCTATATTCTTCGCTAATTGTTAAAAACTAAAAACCAATCAATGGATTAGAGCGATATAATCAGAGGCCTTTCTCACGCGGTCGCGAACCCATAATCATTCGTCCGTTAAATGTATTACACATGTTCCGTTCAATATCATTCAAATGTCAATATGCAAAATAGACGAATTAGTGAGCCTTGACATACGAACATTGATCGTATGAGCTCCACTTAGTACCTGATGGAATTGACAACCATGCTACTAATCAACGGACTAGTTAAAAATTATGCAGACCTTCGAATACACCCACTATAAAATCAACTGGTTCAATTTAACAATATGCGTATATGACAGAATTTAATAGTTAAAAACGAATTCAATTTAAGATTTGCGCTTTTAAAAATAGTTCAAAAACTCTATCTAGTCAACTATAACTATAATCAAATCACAGCGACAGTCAATTGAAAGGAATTAACCTCATTTGCGCCTTTTCTCCTCTCGTTGAATTATGAGAAAGAGACAATGCTCCGTTAACGAACTTCAGTGAAAAATGTAGTTAACGCACTTGCTAACTGAGGACGAAGTTTGAACGTCATCTAATCTCAGGAACTACGGGTTCGAATTGAAAAATTATTTGTGTTGGTTAGAGCATTTATCGAGAAAGGTTATAGGCTATAACACATTGCGATGTCACTAATAGGAGCGAAGATACAGCAAGAAATATGAACAAAACGGGGGAAATTTCTCATCTCTGTAGGTTTCAGATGCGTACGCTGCGAAAACGGTTCAAGATACCTAAAAATTGTGTATGAAATAATGATTTCCCTACAAATGATGTAAAAAAAAGTCCGCGACGCTATATGTCTATCTTTTAAGATTAACTTACAAGAACGACGGGAAGGGACGCGGTCGAAGTTGTGGCGAACAGCTTAAGTTTATAAAGATGACGGGGTTTGCAAACACTTATTTGGATGCCCAAAATAACGATTCTCCACAATTGCTAATTATAACTGTCAAATTGAAAAGGGTAACTGTCAATAACAATGGAAGTGTCAATGTCAAGATAAACATGAAAATTTCCAATCAATGTTATGATTTGGTAACACCTCACATACGATCATTAAACAAACTAACGGAGAATGTTATCGCAGCTGAATTGGTCACGAAAACGGCATCTGTACATACAAAATAATATACTATGTCACGCCTGCTTAACCTCAGGCGTTGCGCAAATTGATCTGATGTTTGATATCATAATATCGCTGATATTATTTATTAAAGGCAGGCGATTTAAAAACGTCTAAAAATAACCTGTACGCATATAATTATTATTGCTTTGCATCATATGTATTATAGGAGAATGTAAGTAAAAAAATATACCGTAGATAAAAATATACCGTAAAGCTATATTTTTTAAAATGAAATTAAAATAAAAAATGTCATTGCACATGATAGCACTATATAAATTAAAAATCTCTTTTTATAAATTAAAAATGTAGAGCAACGGCGCGGAACTCTGTGGATGCCGGTTAAGTCCTGCCCGTGTCGTATTTTTTTAAATTTATAACCGATTCTTAAGATATATTTTTGATCAAACACTATGTCAGGGCCTCCTTCTCTCACTAACCCCGTATTTCTCGTTGTCTTTCGAATTTACTGCCTTATCTTCTAATTTAGTTATTTAAGTGAGCTTGTTTTCTTAAGACATATTAAACAGCAAATTGTCTCACGATACGAATGCACGTTAAAATTTTGTAGTTGATTAGGTCACCATTCACAGATCGTTTAAAACCATTAATCACTCGGTACTTCACATGTTATATTTGACACGTTGAAATAACTTTAAATGGTCTAATGTGTTCTTGGAACTGTTTGTAATATTTACGCAAACAAATGCCTATTAATGCGAAATTAAAGTACTTTATTTTAGACACTATATTTTCCTCCCTCCATATTGATGGTACTTAATATACTCAGGCGGAAGGGCATCTAAACAAGATGCGATGTCAGTATTTTGGCTTTGGAGTTTCGGAAATCCACAGACTGATACGGAAACGCGATTAAACTTCGAGGCTTTTTCATCTGTGGAATCGGAATTTCCATCTAATGTGCCGTGTCCAATTGAAACTAATTATTTTGTACCCAGGAAATTGAACCCAGAACCTCTCATGCTTAACAGATACCAGCCAAACTGTGAATCTTTGTGGTACGGGGACTAGATGAGAGTCGTCTTCTTGGAAATTCAGTTCAATTTCTCCAGATCTTCCAGATATTGGATTAAATGTAATTTTGAGCTAAACCCTACGGGAATCCAACTCACGACTTCTTAATACAAAGAAGTAATCCACTAGTTTAAACGGTGTTCTAGGTCATAAATTTATTTATAAATATGAACTTAAATTCGTGATTGGGTGTATCGTGAACGACCGATGAACGATGAACGATATTTATAACAGCGCTCGATTACCGCAATCGGTGACTGTGAACTTAAACAGAACGCCCTTGACCGATCACTTTTCAAGTAACGAAAATGAATTACTTAGTAGCGTAACATACAGGTGGTCGAATATTCATTTCACTTCATAATTACGTGTTATAACATACAAGTATAATATATGAGGCTACTAAAGACCGAGTGGCCTAATAACATAAACATGATTTTTTTAATGATAATAAAAATGCGCAATTAGCTTAGGCAGAAATGAATTTGTACTATTATTTGTATAAGAATTATATTACCAATTTTCGGTCACTGTGCTCTTATAGATTAACATTTTTAGACTATATAAATAGAAATAAGTCCAGTCATAAAATTGCAGTTAGGCTACTCTGCATCTAGCGGTCTTATATTTACTTAACTAAATACACGATGTCGCGTTTCAATATTTGCTTTTTTTTTGGTTTTCACTAAACTCTATTCTAACAATTGAACTATTTTTAATTTTATATTTAAACTATGTGGGATTCGATCCCCATCGGGTGCAATGTGTTTCTCATCAGTTGTTTTTTTTTTCTACAATAAATGGGGAATTCCGCCAGAGTTACAATCCTCCCTCCACAGATAAAGCTGTGAAGTTTAATCGCGATTCGGTTGCAGTCTGTGGATTTTCAAATATCCAAAGCCAAAATAGATTTACAACGCATTTTGCCTTGCACATTTGAATATTATTATATATATAATATTATAAAAGTACCCTTTGCTAAAACGAATTCGTTAAGAAAAGCGTCCTGGATAAGAGCAATAGAAAAGAAACTTACTTCATAGACAAAAAGACATTTTCTATGATGCATGGTGCATGCAGTGAGCTCGTGAAGTGTTTACAATTTATGATTTCCTATGGATTATAAAATAATAAGCTGATAATTACTAACAGTAAACTAAAAAAGAAACTTAAATAGCAAACGATGTTATTAAGCAATACTCGATATAAGATAAGGCACTATGTACTCCTAATTGAGTGACACATTCTTATCATTTGTTCATTAATTTAAATTAATGCAGTAGATAACAATATCTACCTACTACAAAGCAATAATAGGTTGATTTTAATAAATATTAGTTAACAGATGTGAATGTATGAAGAGATTAAACTTTTGGATTTTCTTAATACAATGTTATAAAAAAATCAAAAATAAATCTAATATACATGTGAAAAAACATGCTTCTGTATTTTTTTCATGTTCTGACATATAACTTTGCTTACATTAAACTTCTCTATTTAAATAATTTATATGGATTAAATAGTTAATTTTTGTTTGTTTTATCTGTTTATATTAAGATTTTATAAATATCAACGATATTATTTATACTTTAATTTAGTAGTTAAAAACTGTCTGTAGTTTACATGAGTACTACGCAATTAAATCAAATCCTTTAACGAAGTAACAGCTGATATATAATAGTTAAGTCTTCGCGAAACCAAATTTCATTCATAAATTGTTATAAGTATTACGTAATACGCAAGTTCATTCGTAAATCCTATTTAAAATTACTACAATTGAAAATGACGTGTGATCAATCGACAATTGAAAGCATCTCGAATCGATTTTGTTTCGATTCGCTGATATGTCGCTGGATTTCCTTATGACACGTTGAAATATGGGAAATTTCTAATTCGTTTTCACTGTTAATCGATAATTCATTACGAGTTATGATTTAGAAGGTGTTTTATTTAAACAACATTTATGCTTATCGCTTAAATACTTTTTAAACAAAACACAGTTTACAAAGAGGGTTAAGGGAATAAAAGACTTCAACGCTTTGTTAGTGGTCTTCAGAAGATGTAAGTTAGCGCCGTCTTCCGA